GTTCCAAACTTGATGGCCAGTTCCAGGTGTTTCAGGAAGTCAGAGTCACTGAAGGTAGCAACTCTCAGTCCATTGTTCTCTTCCATGCGCTTAATCCACTTCAACGCCTGCTGTTGTGGGTCGATGAATAGGGAGAAACGGGATCCGCACGTTGTGAGAAGTCCGTTTTGAATACTGAGTTCGTCTTTGGGCAATCCCGCAGCGTTCCACGCAGCCACTGTGACGTCATTGGCAAGGAGGTGTTCCAGTCGAAACGCCTCACTGTGAGGAACTTCGCGACGCCCGATATCGGCAAGCCAATCATCCTTAATCATGCGGTTTCGGAGACCCCATGAAAAGGGCCCAGAGTAGCTGAGGAAGGCCGCCGAGACGACGCAATCACCAAGCAGGTGGTGCCGCTCCAGTCGCAGAGTCTCCGCCGCCTCTTTCCATCGAACCGTCTCCGAGCCGAGGCCTCCAGTGAGCCTATCTGCGGCTGTCAGACGTCGTTCCATTACAGTGGTCTCTTCCTGCAAATTCTGACGTTCCAATTTCGCCGAGGCGTACTCCTCGTTCACCCTTTTCAAGTCCTCCTCGATCTTTTCGAGCTCCCGCTTGATTCGGTCCAAATCGCGTTCATTCTGGCAAAAGAGAACTGAGTCATCAATGAACATTGGTGGTTGCTGCAGCCACAGTGATCTTGCTGATGGCATTTTAAAGACATCTTGTGCTGTACTGGAGAGACGACATGTCAGTAATGCGTGATTAGTGTCAAAGTGATCACCCTTTTATCTATTTTTGACAAAGTTTTTCTCAATTGTGGCTCTTTAAGCGGACCTGGTTGCCACCTCCCAGGTGTGTAGTCTCCTAACCACAGATAACAATAATCGTTTAAGTCCGACAGTGGTGCGGGTACCTGGTGAAATGTTTTCTCCAACTTCGCAACCATCTCGCGTTTCGGACGAACATCCTTCAATACAGTGTAGTATCCAAGAACGGCGTGAACGAAACGCAGTAGTCCGCTGCCAGCACGGCTAATTGACTGCATCTGGTCCATGGTAATTTTCGATCGCTCCAGATACTCTACAAAGAAAATTCAAGTCTAGAAGTCACAATCACTTCTAGTAGCAATTTCATGAGGTGTATTACCCTTAACTGCTGTGAATTGTTTCGGACTAATTGCATCAACATCCATGGCTTGAAGTGACTGCAGGAAGTTCGTGTCGGCCATCATTCCCTTAGCCGTCTTCCACGACGTCTCAGTGAAGCCCCTGAAAACGCAGATGCACTCCGAGACCACTTGGACGGGACGTGGAGGCTTCACGAATGAGCGGATCTCCGTCACATCGGCCTTGTCCAACTCATTCAAGGCCGAACGAGCCTGGTCTAGAGCCGGCAGCGCCTCGGCCAAAGCACTTTCGGCGGCCGACTAAAGGAAAATGAAGCGCTATCGAGTTGACCAAACCGGTGTTTTATCAGAGAGGGTCAGAGTAAGCAACGACTGGCTTGCCTTCTCCAGTTCAATCTCCTTCGATTGGGCTTCCATCTCCTTCGCCTTCTGCATGGCTTGAGCCTGTTTCTCATTGGCTAGGGCCTGATTCTGAGCAATGCTCGCCAGAAGGGCTTCACAGGCCTCCGTCTTTGTGGTCACAGCGGCTCTTTGTATGACGAGTTTTTCGTTCAATTCTTTAATCTGTGTCGCGGCATTCTCCAGCTTTTCAACTCCTTTAACATAGCGCTCGCATAGCGCGTCTTTACTTGCCGTTTTCTCTGACAGCAACCTGAAAACGACCACGAATGAGTGACTCGCTGTTGGGCACAAATTTAAAATGTAGTCCTCTGGGCTAAAGAAAGTTTTTATCTCCTGGGTTTGCTAAAATACTTCCATGACAGTTAGTGCTGCACTATTGGATAATTCAAGTTAATGACCTGTGGTTCGTTTGTTTGAAACACTTCCCTTTTTTATCGATTTTTTTGAACACACTCGGGGATTGCTAACACTAATGCAGCCTCGTCAAAAGCTAATTCTAATTGGTACAGCAAGACAGCAGTTCCTACCTTCGATAGTTGGTTAGGTAGTCCAAAAAGTGTTTGGGGGTGACGAAATTGATTCTCCTCCACTTCTCCACGAACTCCTGCGTGTAGCCTTCCACGGAGAGGTGAACATGGACCATGTGGTCAATGATGGCATCGTAGTAGTCGGAGAGAATGTTGAGGTCGTGCGATAGCAGAAGGGTTTTCGCGACCTCGTAGAGGGCCTGCTGCGGCCAAGGGAAGAACCAGTCTATCGTCGTATTGGTCACAAGTCCTGGGAAATTCTGACAACGTCTCCTCAACGTATCCCCAACCTGGAAACGCCCTCAAAAGATTTGATTCCAATACCACATTGCTAATTTCATCATGATCAAGTACTTTTCGTGTTTTTGTCGCTTGGGGTTACCGATATCCCTCTGGTCCCGTCAGAGTCTATTCAAAATTTGCAGCTATTCAGAGCTGTTCACAAATACTCGTATCTACGACAAGTTAAAGGGTAAAATGCATAGATTTTCAGTAGTTAGTTGTCTCATAATCATCCACTGAGATTTTAAGAACACAATAATTTCTAACGACCACTAGATTGTGGCTCAAACGCTCTCCTATCAAGCTCTTAGATGATTTCTGTCCACGTGACCAGTTCTCGGCCATTCGCTCGTGCTGGCGATCGATACGTAAATGTCTCACGCTCGCCGCTTATTGGCCAGTGGTTTATCGATTGATTTCGCCTTAATCAGCCGTGTGACGCGATTAAAGAAACAGCGAAGATTTTTTTTCGTGAACAGCCTCAAACGAAATTAATTCTCTACGTAATCTACAACAAGTGTAAAACGTATAGGTTTTCAGTAGTTGGTTGTCTTGTCATAGATTACGTAGATTGTGGTTCAAGCGCTCTCCTATTAAGGTCTCAGGTGCTTTCTGTTCACGTGACCGGTTCTCGGCCATTCGCTCGTGCTGGCGATCGATACGTAAATGTCTCCCGCACGCCGCTTATTGGCCAGATGTTTATCGATTGATTTCGCCCTAATCAGCCATGTGGCGCGATTGAAAAAAACGGCGAAGATTTTTTTCAGTGAACAGCTTCAAACGAAATCCACCCTCCACGTAATCTGCATATATTTTTGCGTCCTATAACCAGTAATCGGACAAGATGAGCGCGCACAATTTCAAAGCCTCTTCGTGATAATCACGCTTCGGTTCTTTTGCAATATATGGCCTGGCATGTCCTGTGCAACGTTTGTGCTTGCCACCTGTATTGGTTATGGGCTTTTTATCAGCCAATGCAGCAACGGTTCTGACTTATTCTTGAAGAATCGCTTCCATCTTCGAACGCACTCCAAGGCAAAAATTTTCCGAAAAAACACTAACCTAAATACGGACGGAATCCTGGTTCTTATGTCTTATTTCGATGTCATTGTGGGGAAATTTTATTGGTCATAAAACACTGCTTGAGAGGAATTACCGGACTCATGGAAAGGGCAACATGGAGGTTACGCGAGGCCTTCTGAGCGAAGTACCTCCACACAGACTCATTGGAGAACTCGAGACCGGCTTGAGTCATCTCGTGTTGCAGGCCAGTGCTGATTTCTTCGCGTTCTTCCTCAGAAAAGAGTGACCTCATGTCGGCTGCGACGAGCATGCTGTTGACCACGTCCAAAAAACCTAATTCAAAAAAATTATTGGAAGAGTGTGGCCAAATTTCATGCCATGCAGGCATAAACTGAGTCATAATTGATAGCCTCACCCTCGTCAATTACATCATCATCGGAGAGAAGAAAGACGATCTTTTTGTTCTCCTGTACCAGCCGAAGGTAGAGCGTTTTGATCTCCTCCTTGAAGTCATTTTCAGAATAGTTCCGAGTTAGCGATATCTGAAAGACCTCGCACTCAGCAGCGAATGCCGCCATTTTGATTAAGACCTTCTTGCCGGAGCCACTGACACCAACGCACAAGGCATGTCCCCCTTCCGTGGTGATTATTCGATGGAGACGACTTAAGTGGTTCAGTGCGTCGTCAAACAGTACCAGGTTCGATTGATGCGGTCTTTGAATCTGGATCTGAAATTGCATTACACACTTATTACTATAATCTTATAAGTAGCACTGGTATTACGAGATTTCAGCTTACCTCGGTGAAGATTCCCTTGGCTTCCTCTAGGTCGACAATCTCCTCGTAATATCGGATTTCGCTCTGTTCCACAGCTGATTTGTACTCCCCAAACAATACTGGATCACGCAGCACAGCATCCTTCGATTCTGGCACCAGTTTTTCGATTTCAGATTGAATTTTGCTCTAAAGAAATAAAACGCCTAGTTTCGCCTGCTTACCTGAACAAGGCGTCTATCGCCGTTAGTAGACAGACGATCAACAAACACTCGTAGAACTTCATGCCTCCACAAGCGAACAAACTGTGCCAGAGTTGTGAAACGATGAGGAGAAGCACGACAGAGACCACAGCACACTCGACTCAGATCGCGAAGACTAAAGATGCAGTGAAATTTGACTGGAGTGGGGCGGAGTTTCTGTTGCAGAAATCTACAAAACCCCGAAAAATAAAACCACTCAAGTCCGTGACGAACACAACGGATCCATGTGTAAATACAATGAAATGACCCACGAGTATACATTCAGCGTGGCCTGTGTGACAGGCGACAATGCCTGGGTGATCTCCTCGTTGAAGCCGGGCTGCACACAATTGTGCAGAATGGTCGAGTAGATAGTATTCAAGGTCGTCTCCTCCGGAGGGGTTGCGTGGAAGACGGAGAAGTGCGACAAAAAGCGGGCGTCTACGGACTTCCGACCACCGCGTGGAGTTCCCATCGCAGCTACGTAGTTGGCATCGCAGATCCGTCGCCATTTGAGGTCTTTGTCGCGGTCGTAGAAGCCCTGGTTCGTAACCAGCAACTTTAGCAGTGCAATTGGCTGCTGGGTTCCGTAGGCGTCTGGTTCGGGCATGTGGATGTCGTCGGTGAATACAAGGAGGCGTTTTCCGGCTGCCGGACCGTAGACACCCTTGCTGCGTTTCTCCAGATTGGCGTCCAGTGTGTTTTGCACATCTCGCGACGTCGTCCTTGAAGAAAAATTCATCCTGAGAGTAAGCTGTAGGATAGAGACAGAGACGTCCATTAGACTTGATCCTCCAACAACGACAAACAGACACGCAACCTACCTGAGTGGATGTATCGCTCGCCAGCAGAAACTGGTTCACCGAAGCGGTCTTGAAAGTACCAGTTTCACCAACCAAGCACACCGGTCTGTTCACGTCGGCGTGTCTGGTCAGTATCCACTGCATTACCACGGTCTCGCGAATCGGCACCACTATGTCTCTGAACGCTCTGTCGAGCTTGTGTTGGTAGGCGGGCACTTTGGAAGTCCATGGAACCCACTGGAGGCTGGGGACATCGAAAAAGAAGTCTGCTAGTCGAGGAAGTGTGTCAGGGAGGTAGCCCATTGGCACGGATTCTCCGGGCTCCAGACCAGCAGTCGGGAGTGCGGATATCTCTTTAGCCTTTTCGTCAAAAACCGCGCGATCGGTGACACTTTCGAGGCAGCAGCCGATGGAGAAGGTAAGAGCCTGCAGAAAAATCGCCTCCAGGCAATCAGTAGAAGCCTCAACGACGCCCATCAGAAGACTTCCAAGGAGGTGACATAGTTGGGATATTTGGACGACAGAATTGCGAGGCAATACCGTCTTCAGGTTGAGTGTCAAGAGGCGTGGAATGTACCGCTTGAAGAGTTTCTCCAAAATTTGAACGTAGAATGTACTGAAGGCCTTCTGGGATAACAACCATCGTTGCCACACGACTGAGTAGTCAAGGTCGCGTGGATCGACGTAAACCATGCCACATCTGGAAACCGTGGCTGGCGACGCGTATTCCAGGTCGCCGACCTCGAACAGAAGGTAACAGTTGGGTTGGAGACGTATTCTTTCGCCGTTAGGTAGGGTGAGCAATCGATTGTCGTCCATCACTGAATTCATGTTCTCTACCCAGAGAGCATCCACGTCACCGTCAAATAGAATAAAAGTGGTACCCTGAATAGAAAAGTCATTTTTTACTTTGTTCATCTGCAAAGTATCCTGACATGCAGTGCAAAAAAAATGTTTTTCCCCCTAAGAGCACCACTTATAAGAGCGCTCGGTGAAAATTTGCCAGATTTTTCCATTAAGCAATCAATGCACGACAATTAGCTGTTAAATTATTGCCGAATCAGCGTTCACAACAGTTTGGAATTTGTGTAGTGTGTACGACCGATTCTTCGTTCAGTGGAATACCGCTCCTACAGATAAAATCGATTTTCATCGATCGATTTCTGATTGCGCGCCACAACGCACCCAAACTCAACTCCAAATTTACCGGATGTTTTGTCAAGGTCACACAGGGATTCCCTTCAATTGTACTACTCTTAGCAGATCATCAAAAAAAGTAGATTAGTCATTTTGCGATAAACAGAATATCTAAAAGCGACATGGCACAACCTAGATAAACCAATTTTTTGCTTAACCACGGCTTTGGACTTTATTAAAATCGGTATTTTGTTTGGCATTTATAAGAATTTGGAAGTTCACCTTGTTTTCGGATGGCTTGTTGGCGTCACGGAAGATTTTTGAGAGCAGACCATCGGTCCAATCTCGAGTGTTCAGATCCAGCACGCCGTAGAGCTCATCGACGCTCCTGTCTTTTGGATTTATCGTGATCAAATTTGTTGGAGTTCCTAGCTGTGTGTGAGCCCCACACACAGCCTCAATAACCACCGTCTTGCCTCCACACGTGGATCCAACCACCATAGTCGTGTGTCGTGTCTGCATTGTCTCAGACAGTTGCACCATCTTCTCCAGTTGCTGCGGAAGTGAGACGTAGCCTTCACCACACAGCCAGTCTTCAAGGGCTTTAGTGAATTCTGAATCTTGCGATTTGGGACAGGGAAGTCCTGGGAAAATGTCACCGACGAGGTCTGAAAAGAGTAGAACATCTTCATGGAGAAATTTGGGCAGATTCACGATTCTAAGAGCCTTCATTAGCAACCCAAATTCGTCCATGGAGGATTCTCTTCGTCGTAACTCTCCGGCCATTAAAAGCACCGACTTGAGCGCTCTCATGCTGAAATCGTAGTGGTGCTGTTTCGACAACTGACGCTCCGCGAGGTTGTACAGCGCGTGCATCTTCACAGCGAGTGCTCGGGCTTGCAAGAAGCCCTGGGCAAAGAGCATCACCTCGCAAATCAACTCTCGATCGGGCACTGCAACAGCCACCTGACGAAACATGACCTTCACCGTCTCCGGCAACTCCGTTCTCCCCGCATACCCGGGGTTCATGGTGATAAAAACGCCCACGCGTGGATTAAATACCATGTCTTCGCCTTCGAATGAAAACTTGGAGGCTCTTTGAATGAGGGCTGCTTGAATGAGACGAAGTTGCGTGGACACCACCGACAGCACACCAACTTCAATGCGGTTGAACTCGTCGAAGCAGCCCCAAGCGCCGACTTGACACAAACCGGCGAAGATTTTTCCCACCGCCTGGTAGTCCATCGCCTCGCCGCAATTCGTGACTAGACAGAAGACGCCGAGCACCTTCGCCAAGTCCTTGACAGTCTCGGTTTTTCCTGTGCCCGCTGGACCAGTTGCTGCACCACCCAAGTTCATTGAGAGGGCCTGAGTTAATGTGAGGTAAATGCGATCAGTGAGTGGGGTGATGACTAATCTACCGTTCAGCCCCATATACTCGTAGCCGTAGACGAACTTGGCATTGCATTGGTGGATATTCAAGTGGTCCGTTGGTTTGCACCAATAGAATCGCAGCTGAGACTGCCACTCAAATTCGTTGACCTTTAAGGCAAAAACAAACCCACTGAATTGAGAACAATCTCGTACAGTCCTAAGAGATGGTCAATGACCTTGATCTTCGAGCACCTTAGCTAAACTTTATACACGTCCGGGCACGTTTGCACGTTTAAAAGTACATCCTACAAAACCGTTTCCATTGACCTCTTGATGCCTCGTAGCTGGAACTGTAACAAGGACTTACCCTTTTCTCCTCAACTCCCCCCTCATTCACACGGATATTTATCTTGGATTATCCTCACACCTAGGTCTCGATGTTAGCGCATGTATGACTCACACATCCGAGGTATAAATACACATGCGCAGACCCCACACACGACACAACGCCACTAACGAGGTTGAGCTCTGAAGTGGACGGTTGTGTCCACGTCCTCTTCGATCTTTTTCTTCATCGTGGGAATCAGGGAAACGTAATCGGGTCAGGGTCAATTCCGTGGCCCCGTCTTGGTTCAAGACCACATGCTGGGGCCCACAACAATTGGTAACCCCGACGTTGGACGAATATCGATCTTCGGGTGTCCGAAACATCAACATTCGATGTACTGGTATTTGGCGACCTACTACCTCAATTCTCCGGACGACGCCAAATCTCCAGATGCTTCTAAACTCTGGACGATGCCCTTCGACTCTCATCATCTGGCGGAGGCTACCCATCGTTCTGCGACAATCCTCCAATTTTTATTAGCCCAAAGCTCTCCTTTTTAAAACCTGGCCTCATCCATTAAGTCCATCTTTTAATCATCATGGCCGCATCTCTCGACTTCCATTGGCCTCGACTTCTGACGCTCTTCGGGCAATTATTTTCGACCGATTCTGACCCCTGGTTCTCGACTGTCAACCATATCGAAAGACCTCAACGATCTAACGATTTCGCATCATGCACCACCTCTACAACGATCAACCTTTCAGATATCCAGCTTGTAAAAAAGGTTGCATCGGCAACAACGATTAATGTCGAATGACTTCCGAAAACGAACAACGATGCCAAGTGTTTTGGTTACCTTCAGCGTACGACAATCCGCCTCATTTCTACATTCACATGGGCCACATTTCGACTGCAGAAACCTACGGCCTACCTTTCAGAATCCGCATTGGAAGAAAAAATTAGCTGAATTATCTTGCTAAGAAAGAGATAGTGCCAGACGTAGTCACCTCGGTGACACTGTCGCGCACGAACGAATTCACCACATCGCGAGCGTGGACGTCCACGATAAGAAGGGTAGTGAGCTTGGTGCGGTCGTTCGGCGAGAGGTCTGCGCGAATCCGCGCGACGACTTCCTTGAGCTGGCCTCGAAGGTGCTTGGCGTAGGCCTTCAGGGCGGTCTTGTCCTCGTTAGACCCAAGGCGTCGAAACGCCTCCTCCACTTCCCACGTCCACCAAACCTGGCTGGAGGCAAGCACCACCATGCCCTGATGACGCAGGGCCCATTCGACTCTAGGTTAGAGATGGCAATTTAAACAAATAATCCACCAATCAGGTCTTCGCGTTTCCTAGAGATGATACCTTGGTTTGATTGACCAACTCTTAGCCATTTATTGATTGCCACATTTCGATCAATTACCATGCTGCGAATAAAACTTATAATTTACTTACATCTTAACATGGTGCCATAGCAATTAAAACAGGAAATTTTGGAAATTGTCCCGAAGATGCCAGTATGAGACCGAATTTCCTTGTTCCCTAGCATTTCCACTTTAAAATACCATTAAAATTTCGCAGCCAGGGAATAGATGGCTAAAATTATTTGCCAGACTTTAGGCTAGTAAGTTTTCAATCCTCCACAGTATCACACACAGATTGAGCAACCGCGCCGTCTTGTGAGAAATACATTTTAAAAAATGTAGGGATGATTTGAGACATGTAACAGAATATGGGTGTTGAACATTGTCAGCTAGTTGCTGTCGAATAGATTTACTTCCAAACGGACGACCCGATCATATCTGGCGATTAAAATGACCCAGAGGTGGCACTGATTTGCAAGCCAAGAAATGCTTGAAAGATCTTTGAGATACTAAATTCTTCTGATGTTCAACTACGATCACAAGCATTTTCAACGATGTGACTGTTCTCGAATTTAAAAATAAGCCATGGCTTTTAGGCCCTTGAAAATTTTTGCACAAAGCTGCTGATTTTTGCCGATTAATAAGACCGGTCACCGTGTTTCTTTTAGTGAGTGGTTCAGTGTGGCGACGGATCAGGGCGCAGACATATTGGACCTCCTGGCCTCAGTCAATCCTGTGTCTCTCTGCATTCCAATGGCATGCGAGGAAGACAAGCAGCCAACCAGAGGAGGGCACGGATGAGGAGCAGCATATATTGAGCGGCGTGGCTAGCGTGGTGGACTCGGATGGAAGGCTCCTGACGTGTGGCTCTGGCTTGTGATTGGTCAATAGAGACTGTTCTGTTGTATCAGTCTTCCCATACTAAGGCTTGGGTATTCTACAGCAGTGACATATAAGGGCGCAGACATATTGGACTGCGCCGGCCTCAGCCAATCCTCTGTCTCTTCGCTTTCCAATGGCATGCGAGGAAGATATGCAGCCAACCAGAGACAGACACTATGAGAAGCAGTTTATAATGAGCGGCGTGGCCAGCGTGGTGGACTCGGATGGACGGCGCCTGACGTGTGGTTCTGGGTTGCGATTGGTCAATAAAGCCTGACCTGGTGTACCAGTCTATTTCACACTAGGGCTCGGGTATTCTAAAGTGGTGCCGCACAAGGGCGTAGACATATTGGATCACGAAAAGCTCAGCCAATCCTCTGACCGTATGTGTTTAAATGGTCTGCGTTAACTAGCAGCCAATCAGCGACAAGACTGGATGGTGTAGTCATTATACTTGACTTGGGAAGACAGCTATGGCTTGTGGTTAGTCAAAAGAGCCTGATAGGGCTGAGGCAGTCACCATCAATTTCGATGGAACGTGGTCTCCTGGAAAGCCATGATTCCATGACACCTTGGCGATGTACATTAGACCTCTTTGTGTTGTCACCGTTAACGTCGACGGGTTTTTACCAACAAAAATATAACTCCACTATGAATCATCAGCTTTTAATAAGTTAACCTATTACAACAACGCACAACCAATTGAAGGTCACGTAAGCCAATCACCTCATAAGGTGTTTGAAGGGGTAGCGTCAGATTTACAAATTCTACGGAATCTACGTAACTATCACACACCTTGGCTGCGCATCGCAGTAGCGATAGATGGCCTTCTTTGTTATTCTCCGGTTGCTCGTTACCATTTCAGCTTCGACTTGTGTCAACCATTCGTCAATGCGACCAGCGCATTCCACGGGATTACGAAACTCCATGTGCTCTCCCTCGCTTGACTGCATTCCAATGGCAAGCTGTACTCCATTTTCGGTTCTAGTGAGGTCCAGACGTAACACATTGTCAAACATCTAAAATGTCATATGCACATCCATGAGTTGCATTAACTTACATACATCTACACCTGCTTGTTCAAGCTCATGACTCCTCTGTCGTGATTGGTGGGATTCTTATTTTGAAATCAGTGACCTTGACCGGACCAACCAGAATCAGGTGGAGGAATAGATGTCAATGCTGCTGTGATCGTTACATCAATGGTACTAACCTTTATCATACTTTCTTGCACATTGTCGATTTCACTTGAACCTAGAATCACGAGAAGTTCGTCGTCAGATATGAAGTAGAACCGTGGAAACGCGTTGCGTTTTGATTTGAGATAGTTTGCCAGCGATTTTTGACAGGCTTCGAAACCAGCGCTGATTGTCTGCAGTTGCGTTGCACGTCCCGGTTTAAGGCAACACGCACTCACTTCCGGCTCCTTTGCAGCGTCTTGGATGGCCTGTGAGTGCAAAGTGGCAGTTTACTTAGGTTCGGTTTTAATCATTTTGCCTTGGTTTAAAGTTGACTCAAAATTAGCCCAACGTCCCATTGGCAGATGTTTGTAGATCTTGCACACTCATTGGCTACTTGTTAGCTGTCCAATCAACTAAAAGCGTGGTGAACCACCAATCACGAGTCACGGTGAGCCGAGACAAATGCCTTACCTGTTTGAAAAGTGAGTCAAGTTTATCAAACTTCTCGGCCTCTTTTGGCAAGTGGGAGCGGATGTCACCAGCGGAGAAAATGCCCTCCAGGTGAAGCCACTTGCGCTGGACGAGGGTCCACAGCTCGAGCACTTCGCTGACTTGACTCAGCTGCTTCTCCAGCGTGCGGATCTCCGTGATGAATGGTGCGGAGAATGTGCTAGCCCCCATGGACTGCAGACTGATGGAGTTGTCGTCCAGTGTCTGCATTAGATCGTCCACACCGGTCAAAATGAAACCGCGTTTCTCACCATCCCTGACGTACTCCTTCACCTCCAGTTGGAGGGAATTCCAGACGTCCATGATGTTCGAGAAATCCTGAAATACCATGCTTTGCATGAGTATACATAGAAAGTGAGTATTTCAGAGAATGAGAGCCGTTGAACTGACCTTTTCGATTGCGAATTCCTTGACTGCAATGCCAAGAACCTCATCGATGTCACCGCGGAAGCGGTTGAGTTCCATTGCAAAAACATCGCCCAGAGTTAACTCTTCAGATTTCAAGGCGAATCCATGCTTTACACGCTCCATCAACATCTCCCAGTGGCTGCATAAGAAAGAAACAGACGATTACCAGATTAAGTCCTTGCAAATCGTCGTTCAGCGTGATTTGGAAGGGATCTGGATTGGTTGGGCGACACGACTGTCATGAAAGAGAATGTAAGGGCTGGGGAGTATGTAAATTTTATTGGAGAATGTCACTCCGACACAGGGTCCCTTTTTTGCAGCATGTCGCCAGCCACGCGGATCCTCAACTCCCTCCTCATTAGCTCTAACAGTTATCCTCATACCTAGGACGCGATGTTATTCCATCTATGACAAACACCCGAGGTATATCTACACACGTGCAAACACCACACACGACGCAATGACAGCAGTTTTAGTTGAGTTCTGAAGTAGACGACTGCGTCCACATCCTCTCCGGTCCTTTTCTTTATCGCGGGAATCAAGGAAGTGCAATCGGGCCAGATCTAACTCAGTGACCTACAACAATTGGTGACCCCGAGGCGATGAAAAGTTATCCAAATTTCACAACATATGCTTCAAGGTATCCGGTTAATTCTGTCAACACAAACTCTGGAGAAAAAATTCATTCAGAAAGAGAAACGCCCGTTCAAAAAACCCCATGCGATCCTGTCATGATTAGCATATTTTTGAGTTTACCGATTAGACTTTGCAGAGGGAAGTGGTGGTTACCGTTGTCTCAAGGCCTCGTGTTTGAGGTCTTTGAATAAAGATACGGAATCGTCGAATCCACCCAGTGCAACTTCAAGCGCCTTACAAACCGCCAGATCGCGGACAGCCTTGGGCAGCTTCCGAGCCTTCAGCTGAAGGGCCTCCACTTCATCCTGCAGAACTGAGAAGTGAGCGTCCCGCCACAACACCTTGGACCATTCCTCCTGAAGGGTCTGTATGGAAAAAGTCGTGAATAATTTGACATTTACGAGCAAACCGACAGCCTCAACATCTCACGCTTACCCTCAGTTCCTCATAGATCTTGTAGATCCTTTCCAATGCCTGCATCTGGTGCTGAACGTGGAGGAGGTCGTCAGAGAAGGAGATGGGCAATTCAAATAGTCTTTCAGCTGAAAGCAAGTCGTGAAGTCTTGTCTCCACACTCCGTACTTCTTCTTGATATTTCTGTAAGGAATAGAAAACCTCGTTAATGAGTCCAGGTTCCGCTCACATTTTCAGATCGCATCCGTGGAAGTCTGTGACGTTTTTGTCTGCAAAACCATTGAGTTCCCCCTCTCAGGTCACTTCCGTGTACAAAAAGGTCGCACGAAAGTGACACTTGGGTGTGTTGAACCATCGAGTACTTCAAAAAACGACAAGGTTTACCAAGTTTCACGCACCTTTTAATCTCAAAACTTCACTTGCACATCGATCCAAACAACTTTGCGAACGCTGAATTAAAACAAAACCGATTTTTCTGGAGAAAGATTTTCAGAAAAAGATTGGATTTAGATTTGTAATGCTCCATGAACCCTTACTGTTATCAGCAAACGATAAATTGTTAACTTGTGGTTCAAAAAAACCAATCTTACTTTCATTAGCGCTAGACCACTTTCGAGATCATCGGAGACAGCACCTGGTCCGGATTCGTTGAACCTCTGAACAAAGGACCTTACGTCCCTCGCGAACCGCATAGCCTCCAGCTTAGTGGAGTTCTTGAAGCGCTTCTTTACTGCGGTGATGCCGCGTTCCGTGGCGCGAGCCTGCTTCAGGATGTTAATCCAGGACCTGCGCACCGCGTTGGCCTCGTCGACTTCGCTCGCAGAAACTTCTAGCCCATGAAGCTGAAGGAGGCGATGACACTCATCGATGGTGGCCAACTGCTCTTCACAGTCACTTCGCGCATCTTGGACGTCTCGGAGCGTTTGCATCAACTCCCTGAGCTGTGATTGGTTGGAAGGTTGTAGTTTGAGCCGCGAGGTTAAATTCTGCAGCAGAGAAGATTGTGGAGTGGTAAAAATAAAGTGTGCGTGTGTACGTGCCAATTATTCAAATGACTTACTTGTACCGTCTCTTGAAGGTGTTGACTGGCTGCGTGGACGCGTTCGCGGAAGAGGTCGCCGTAACTCATGACCCACTTTTCCGCGTGGCTACGAATACCATGCACCAGGAGGTTGGTGCGAAGGGTGAAGAACCCGATTTGTTGATCGGTTACACGCGAAAGTAGTTCATCCAGTCTAGCTGAAATGTCCTCGATGCGTTGGTGAATCGCTGTCACACTGGGCATGGAGCCTTTCCACTTTTCTACGCGGGATTTCTAAGAAATCCATCAACAAATACCCTCCTGATTAGTTACTTCCTGGACTGTGTAAAGCAACGAAACAGATTGGAAACTATACCTTGTGGGATGTGAGGAGGTGCTTGTACGGACGGTACCTCTCTTGACGACGTTTAAGTTCTTCAGCGGCTGTAAAGACAACTCGGTCGATCTGCTGAAAGACGTCCCGTACACCCTCGGACTTGATGATATCTTGATTAAAGTTGAAGTAAAACAGGTCGTCTTGTCCAGGAATCTTGATGCCTTGGCTGGGCACGCAGGTGCCCGGTTGCCACCGGATGAACACTTGCGTGTTTTTAATCGCGTCACGCACATCCTAATTAAATAAATTCCCCAAAAAGATAAAATGTCGGAAGCAAATGGAATAAGGGGCTAGTAAAGTAATCAACACAGGAAATCGTTGAGTTGAATACGACACTAATTTTGCCGGGATAAAGCCCCACCTCAGAGATAAAAATCACCAGTTTTTTTGGTGGATGGAAATTAATAGAAGTTGAAGTAGGCAGGTTCACCTGAACTAGGAGTTGATAGAGTTCCATGGGCTGTGGAATACTGACGACATCTGATCCTGAGAGCACCAAGTCAACGCCAAACAGGGGTTTCGACGGGAATTGAAGGGAGTGGAGGTAGCGCTGGAGATTGCACTTTACCATCTGCAAGCACAAAGGTTCAACACATTTAATTGGTTGCCATAAAGGTGAGGCGTGGTGTGCACATTCCTACCTTGTGAACCGTCTCAAAGCACCGCCTCTCCCACAACTCGTAGAAGTAGACCATTCTCGGGTCCGTGCCGGTTGCTGGTTTACCGGTTATGACACCTTCCAAGCTCACCAGGATCTGGCTCATCTCCGAGTGCAACCTGCCGAGTTCTTCGAATTGTTGCGTCCGCAATGTTGCCATTTGTTGAATGTGGATCTAGAGAGCGTTTGTTGGAACAAAAGCGTGTTCAAGACAAAAGTGATTTTGTAGAAAAACAACAGGAAATTGGTACACCGAGACTACCTTAAAAGACGACGTGGAATGGGATTGGGCTGGAACTTCGCTGAAAAGCCAAGCGTCTTCAATTGCACGCAGATTCTCCTCCAAGCCCGACTTTGCCTTATCGAGGTGTTTGAGAAGAGAGCAAAAACGCATGAGAGCGTCGTTCGCTTTGCCAACAAACTCGTCAATAACCAGACTGGTCCAGTTGAGACGCTCCCAGGCTGGCGCGAGGATTCGACGAAGCCTCACGATGTGGTGCTCTAAAGTGACGAGCTCCACCTGGGAAAGCCGTCCTAGAGTGTTCCACACAGCTTCGGCCAGGTCTTCAAGGTCGACTTTTCTGCGAAGTAGGTCGATTTCCTGAAAGACACCAAGAGTGCTTATTCAGGCCTTGGAAGCCAAGCTAACGAGACACTGGCAATTTCAATGGAAGGATCAGGCTGCTGTAAGTGTGGATGACTTCGACAAATGAAACTAACAGCCTGTCTGAGGTGTGGATGAAGGTAATCGATGACAGCACAAGTTATCTTGAACGGACAATAACCATAGCCATTACTGATTCCGTAGTTTCTAAGACTGCGCGATAACAGGTAACGCACGCTTACATTTAGAGCAACACCGCAGGCCATTTCGGGAATAGGAAAACCGAGGGATTCCAGCTGTTTGGTTTCGGCGATAATTTTCAGTATTTCGTCGCTGAAGTCCACGACAAAGTTGAAATTGCCTACAACGAAGTTGAACGTAATCATGCAACGTCTGTCGAGTTGGGGAGACTTTACGATGTGGTGAAGGGGCCGATTTATACACCTCCGTCCAAGGTGATCACCCCCGTATTGGTCAACGATTATTTCAATCACTGCGTCTCAACAGCGGTCAACGGATGTTGGCGAATCCTCGACGTAGCTGGAGCACTCCAACTATTTTTGGGATAAATTGATCTTCTGATTGCTTAAAAGTGACCCTAAAAATCATGCACCTGCATGTACCCCCCTCCACGTTGCCCGTTTAACTCACCCGTACTTTTAAAAACTTCACCCAGACTGCATTAAGCAAACGTTATAAGTACTCAGGCACGCACTTTCATGCCCAGAGGCGGCACACAGGGGTTTCTGATGCCTTGTAATTCTCGTTCAACGGTTGAGCGAAGTGCACAACGTCTTCTGTACAATCGTGTCACGAAGCCCGTTGATGCACGTCCACTAACTCGGTTGTCGCATTCTTATAGTCGCTGCTCTGCCTATCGATCACACAGGCGCCACCTGCTCACACCCCTGTGCATGTAACTCCCCCTTGCCACCCCACTACGCACTCATCCGGCCACACAGCCATTTGTACTTTTACCATGATCACCCAGACAGAAGTATTTTACAGCCCCGAGTGGTCAGACATGAACTTCCAGGCACACTGACACCAAACGCACAAACACAGTCTCTCCCTCCTCTCTTACTTCCTCCCGAGGTCATTAGAGCTGTATTTACTTGCTGTAGCAGCCTCCACAGATTGTGGTAGAATCTTCTGTGACTGCAGTTTCCAAAGCTTTAGAATCAAGTTTGTTTGGATGACCGGGTTGAGCCAGGTAGTCAGCGTACAACGCGATCTGTGGTCTGTGTCATCGAAAAGTACACATCACCACAGACAATGTCTGCACTACCGCCTAACAAGGATGGTTTAAACTGAGCCGATTAGAAAAACAAACATACGCAGGGCCTTATTCTGCTTTGGCAGAGGTCTCCCAAACACATTTGCGTGTTTTAAATCGTGCACGTCCACAGTAAAACTGGAGCGCACAGATTTTGCGCGGCCGAGGGAAATTGATGAGTGCTTTGTCGACGGGTTAGTGGATTTCCACAGCTTCTTCTCCAGGAGCCGGCCCAGGTTGTCGTGAACTTGTTGTCGCCACTTGGTGAAAAGCTCCTCTTCAAACTGGGCCATGCGGCGAGCAAGACAGGCGTAGTGCTCCTGCATCTCCTTGCCTTTTTTGCTCTCCATGAGTTGTGGAATGTGCTGCATCTTGAGCATCGGCGAGTGAATACGGCCCAGAAGATGCCGGACCCAGCATATCGACGACGCCACGGGAGGTAGGTAGCGAGGACCCAGAGCAGCAGGATCCACTGAACCCTCTGTGAAAGTTGCTTCTATGAAGCGAAGCTCATTCTCGTATCGATCGAGAACGTCGGGATAGCGGTCTTCAACGATGTCAGCGACTTCCTTGCGCGGACGGCTGTCGAGAATCCGATGCAAGATTTTGAATGCCTCGTCAGAGGAGTGAAGTGTATGAAATGACTCCTCAAGAAAATTTTTGACTTCTGCATCAAGAGTCGCGATTTCCAGCTGGAACTTTTGCATTGTGACATTCCATTTCGACTGATTTTCAATTAGTAACGGATTGTAGGCTAGCTAAAATTTATGCAAACGTGTGTTTAGGTAACACATTAGCATCACCCAGGTTTTTGTAATAAAAACTATAGAAAGCTAGTCTACAAAACCGACAAAAAACACATACCGATTTGAAGCTCTCTGGAATCAGTAGGACATTTTCCATGAGTGAGTCTAAGTGTTTTTGTTCCCTGACTAAGTGTTTCGTATCAGGACCAAATAGCTTCTGGTACTCGTCTATGATACTAGCCACTCCTTCCATATCAGTGCATATTTTTATCATGTAATCACTTTTGGCAAATAGTCGTTTCTTGTCAAATTCCCATCGGTAATCACGACCTGATGCTTCAATTTCAGCTCTTCTAGACATGTATGTGGATTTCCAACGCTCCAGCAAGACTCTCGCACTACGAATACGGACCAGCATCTCAGGTGGTGGTAGGCTAAATGCAATAATCGCAACTTGCAGCACTTACTTAAACAGCTCCGATGGGGTCAACAATTTTGAGACACGGTCACACAAACACCAGGCTATTCGTTCGAATATGACCGTCATCCTGTCATTTTTGCTAAAGTGCCTTGAAATTATCCATATCATCTGCAATGTTTGCATCAGTGGGTAAAGCGCTTCAACGACGTTATTAATCTCGGTACTGTAAGTCAGGATCTTAAAGTATCTTTCCACCAAGGCAAGGAATCTAGGTTAGCGGATAATGGGAGACTGGGAAGGCATCTGCTTACTTAACATTATCATGGGCTTCAAAATAACAACTGTGAAGTTCTTTGAAAACAGACTCCGGCGAAACCTCCTCCTTCAATCCATAGAGGTGTAAAGCGCGCTGAACCAGCGGTTGCGTAACTTGCTCAACTAATCGTGCAAGTGCGGTGGCGCGTTCGCGCCAATACTGTATTTCAGCCAAAGGACCTTCACCGACCGTAAACCGAGAATTCAGTTCCTCAAGAATGTCACGCACTTCGTGGCTCCAACAAACAACGGCGTCATTAATAGCGCTCATAATCTTGTGATTTTGCAAAATTATTGCATCTTCTCCATCAAGATCAATCGAGGGAATGGTAAGACGAATACTTGAATTGAGAAGATCGCTAGACCCAGAAACGACTTGCAAAAATTTATAAAATCTTATTGGGAATTCATCTCTTCTACAATATTCAATTTGTCCTGAACTCCTGACAGATGAACTGTCGTACGTTATTGATAAGAATTTTGCGTAAATATTTGTCAAAATAGAATGGAGTTGGGACAACCAGGATCCGTATCCCGAATGAATCTCAAAGAAATTGGGCATAATTTCGCATGCATGATCAAATGTAGGTGGGTTTTCAATCGCGCCACTAGTTGTGCGTAAAACACATAAGTATCGAATGGCCGAATCCTTTAAGATGCAATTTCCATATGAAACCTCAATTAAGACGCGTTTGGTTTCTTTTGGAACAAGAAGCTATAATCATAAGTTAAAAATAGACCCAATACTTTTCGAGCCTGTTTTATAGGTGCTGCAGGCACTGAGGAAAAGGTGTGAATAGAGGCTTCACTACCTTCACTGCTATAGCTTATCAAGGAATTAACATCGGCAGATTTATTTGACTTAGGTGAATAAAGGCCGCTGCGGTCATTGCCCCCATCTTAAAATGTTGCCACATAATTCACAATTTTTTTTCTACTTGAATGGACTTCGACTTCCTCATATACGGTCTCAGTAACATTTTTAATGTTAAAAACAGCAGCTG